AAGCATTATGAACAGTGGGCTCAAATCCCACTTCATTCAGTCATAGGCTGCATACACACCAATCCATTTGTACGCAGCTCACTAGATAGTTTGGGCAAATAGTGCCTGTTGAATTTGTTTGTCATGAAGCTATTGAAGGCAAAAGTACCACCCAGCCTCCCTCCCTCCTTCTACTGCAGTACCACAGCAGTAAAGATACTGCAATGTACACTTTGGGGTTTTTATGATGCATAGATTGATGCATGAAACAATTAACTAAGAGAGAATGGAATTTTATACCCCCCCCCCGTCTTCATCATCATAATAGTGCTCCATATGATTATAGCAAGAATCTTTTCAAGAGGAATCCTTTGCTGGCATAGGTGGCTTGTTTGAAATTAATGGAATTGTATAGGTTTACGGTCCTTGAGCATCTCACCTCTCTATTGCTAATATTCTTTACCAATCAATGCTTGCCTGGAGCATCAAACAAGTTATAAAAGCAAACATTTCCAAAATTAAATGGGAAATAGTGGGGACTGATGGGTTTGCTGTCTGTCTTCCTTAGTTTGTTACAGGCAGAAATAAAACAACTGCAGTTTCCCACCTTGTCCATACTTGCGAAAGCTACACTTGTTAAATGTGTGCCTATCATGCATCTCTTAAAGTTTCTGCCAGGAAAAAATTGGCTACCATATCTCTGAGATCGTCCTTTAAAATACACAGTGCTCCTTACCAAGCATACAAATACATGCTGTAGGTCAGATCAGCATATTTCCAATAATATCTGGCGACGCATTTAAAGGTTAAAAAGCCAATAGAAGTATTCCTAAGAAATGCAATTGGGGCTTGGAGGGAGATGTGTTCATCAGGAATATTTCTGACCACCATCCCTTCCCAGGAGGTTCAGCTTTCATTTTTAAAATTAAAGGAGGGTATGCAGCTAAGTCGCACTCAGGAATAGAACTGTTGATGTCAGTGGACTTAAACCATGACTAACAAGCCTCAGTCAGTAAAGCTGTATACACACCATACATTTGAAGTACATTTCCCCACCCCAAGAATCCTGAGAACCGCAGCTTGTTAAATGTGCTGGGAATTATAGCTTTGCTGGGAAGCTACCGTCCACAGGATCCTTTGGGGAGTGCTTTAAATATATGGTATGTATGTAGCCCAACTATGGCTTAGTTGGTTGCTATGCTATGGTTAGAGACATAAGAGGAAACATGCAGGGAGCATTAAACCCCATTTCTCTCTATATGAAGCAGTACAATTAAGTAGTTTTGAACATATTAGGTTACTCATATTTATGTTGTGTGTTTTGCAATGATTTCCCAACCCCTGAGATCTTCCCCTCACCACAACACTTTTGGCTATGAGCCTGGAAATGAGCTAGTCTTCCCCCGCCCCCATCAGATAAGTAACACTGACAATAAAATGAAATGAATCTGTTGGTCTAAGCTGGCATTGCTTAACCTGATCACTGTTGGCTTCACTTTCCCTCCTAATGTGAGTCAGGGCTCACCAGAACCTGGCTCAAATTAATTGTGGTTACTTAGTCTTTTAGGTGGGAGGCAGGTGGCGCTGTGGGTTAAACCACAGAGCCTAGGGCTTACTGATCAGAAGGTCGGAGGTTCAAATCCCTGCAACGGTGTGAGCTCCTGTTGCTCGGTCCCTGCTCCTGCCAACCTAGCAGTTCAAAAGCATGTCAAAGTGCAAGTAGATAAATACCATAGGTACCACTCCAGCGGGAAGGTAAATGCACTGCTCTGGTTTGCCAGAAGCGGCTTAGTCATGCTGGCCACATGACCCAAAAGCTGTATGCCAGCTCCCTCGGCCAGTAAAGCAAGATGAGCACCACAACCCCAGAGTCATCCGCGACTGGACCTAACGGTCAGGGGTCCCTTTACCTTTACCTAGTCTTTTAGGCAAAGGACCACAGCTCGGTGGGAGAGCTTTCCATGCAGAAAGCCCCAGGTTCAATCCCTCACATTACCAGGTAGGGCTAGGAGTGGCTGTTTGCCTGAAACCCTGGAGAGGCACTGCCAGCCAGTGCATACAGTACTGAGCTAGCTAGACCAGTAGTCTCACTTGGTAGAAGGCAGCTTCCTATGTTCCTGTTTTCAATGCCACAGCAGAGTCGTGAAACAGGCAGCTTGTGAGATGGGGACTTGACTCGGAAAGAATTCCAATCTAGTTTCAGGATTTAAAAAAGGAAACACATTGACCAACATCACCCATGGCAACCTCATAGACATGAGTTGCATTACCTCTCCTTTCTCCCTCCACCAGCAATGACTTGATTTCATCATTTTCTGAGACATTTGTGAACCGTATGTAACAGAGGAGGGAGTGGATTCGCGCCCACTGACCACTCGCAACAACTAGGTGTTGATCCAAATCATATTTACCGTATTTGTTGAATGTATTCAGGCCTTCATATCAGCACATGAATATCAGAAACAGAAAAGGTGGGTGCAGCCCAACTACATTGATCATCCACAATTCTAAATTGTCTGAGTAGGGCTTAACAAGTTTCATTTCGGGATAGTTTCAGATGGACATTTATGCTACCAAGCTCTGCAAAGTTGCACTGTGTGTGTGTAACACGGTACCTGCTCCTCCTCACCACACAGCTAAATGTTCAGAAGAATGTTTTCAGTAGTCTCTGGCAGGACAGCCAGTTTCTAATAATTTCTGGCAATATATTTAAAGGTAACAGTCCACTGAAATACAGCCAGCTTTTACAGCTGTGTTACTTGTAATGATAAAAGCACACCCTTTGGATGAGTAATTGAATACATGCTGGGCTACCATGCATACAACAAATATGGACTTTGGCACAGTAAACATCAAAGCTTCACTGAGCTTATGGGGCTAGGTATATTGGGCTATTAGTTCTCCAAATAGCCTTCACCACTCATTTTCAAAAAATTGAGCTTAAGGAGGACAATAGAAAGGGCATACAGGTGGGAGGTAAAATGTGAAAAATACTAAATAAAAGCACATATGCACAAGTGTTTCCATTATTGTGATTGTTGCCATCTTTATTACACTGCACCATTAATGTAAGTTATAATGTAAAATTCAACACACAGAACTGGGAAACAAGAGGCAGATAAACAAGATAAACAGGGAGAGTATGTAATTGCTTCGGTTACATATACTCATGCTTACATACAGCAGCACATGGGAATTAGTGTATGTGCCTAATGCTTTGGTGCCAAGCAGGAAACACAAGTTCCTTCCCCTAACCAGCAGATGACGTCAGACATTATTTCTGGGCTACTGAAGACTTAACTGCTGCTCCTTCACTGTTTCTACAGCTGCTTCCATCTTCAGTGGAACAGACTGGTACAGGGTGGTTTAGGAGGAGCAGTTACAGGAATGCACAACCTGCACATTTGTGCTTCTTTTTTGTGCTTCTTTTTTACTGGCCATGCAGGTGAGTCTGAAGGAAGTTGTGAGTGCTGTTAATGTGGGGCAGAGAGCAGAAGAGATTCACACTGACAGGTTGAATGACTGACAATAGAAATGTAACATCTGGTTTAGTGTCCCTTATGGAAATAGCCAGCCCATCGAAGACAAGTCATTTATTTCCTTCATGTGTAAGTAGAAAACATAAATTGGGTACAAAGTAACATTTTCTGTTCTGCATTACCAACCTTCAGCAAACAAATCGCAAAATGGGTCCCCGCATGTGTGGCTTGAACTCTGCTGTGAAATTGGTCAGATAGCAGCAATGAGACTCAAACACATTTCATCTCATGTGTGAAAAAAATACCTAAAGGTTACCAGAGTGTATATTGTCTTCCAGTCCATCACGCCTCTGTGGATGTAGTAAAATACAGAAATGGCAATTCAAGGTGTTTTTCTTTAATTTTCATTCAATTTTTTTTCGTTCACCAACATGGTTCATTTCAAACCATGACGTCTTCTCAGAGGAGAGAAAGGGGTTAACTGGCTTTTGTGAATGGCGGCCAGTGGTGATCGAGGAGGGGGAGAAAGAAGCACACCCACTCCCCAATACTGTATCAACATCTCGACATGGAGGCAGAGTTTTGGCCGAACAAGACAAAACAGAGGGCGAGTCGGCAAACAAAAGAGCCCAATGCGACCATGGATCCGTCGGAGATGAACGGGCAAAGCAGTGCGTTGGGCACCCAATCAACCGGGGCGCTTTCCTGTGTCTGTACGTCGGGAACCCACTCATCTCCCCCGCCCCCCGGTCCCAGCGGAGAGTCGGAAGCCCAGGGAACAAAGCCCCCGTCTCCCTCGAGGACTCTTCCAGCGGAAACAACGTGACATCATCGCGCACAGGACAATTCACCCCAATGCCAGGCAGGGAGTTCGAGGTTCGCCTTATAAAAGAACGCGGCGTCCATTGAGGGATGGGTTGCTGGACTGGCTTCCGACGGGCAGCCCTGGCTCCATGAATGCCCTGTTCGCGGCCAATGCGCCCCCCCCCCGGGCCGGATTTAAGAGAATAAATCTGACGTCACCCAGTCCGAACCTTCTCTTCTCTATTATGACGCGCCCGCTCCTTCCCTCGCAGCCCCGCCTCCCTCCCTCCCCGCCGTCTGATCTCCCCCGCCGGCTAACAGCCCTTCGATCAGCCGCCTCCTTTCCTCGCCGATCTGCTTTGCCTCCTGCTCCGCTGCGCAGCCCAGCCCCAGGGCTGTCCTCATCCAACCTCTCCTCCCTTCCGTGCCGCCTATTCAAACCAGCCCTCCAGGCTCTTATCTCCTACACCCCAGATTTGTCCCTTGCCGCCCACGCCTCTCACGAATCTACCCGGGAGGGCGGGGTGGGGGTGGGCTCCCCGACGTCCCATTGGCTTCCTCCATCGCCCTTACGCATCCCCTCAAACTCTCAGGCGGCCCAGCACTCCCCCTCCCCTCCCGTCGGCGAAGCCTCCCTCCTCCCCCTGCTCCGCTCCTCCTCGGCTTTTGCAATACGTCATCCTTTTGCTCAGCCGCTCCCCCCCCCCCCGCCCGCTCCCTTCTGCCGCCCAGTTCCTTCTCCTCCTCCCACCGCATCGCTAGGATGCTTTTTGGGCAAAGTGAATGGAACCCCCCGCGAAACTCAGGGCAAAGGGCTAGGTGAGGGCAGCGGCTTCACGGAGGCTTCACTTCCTCGCTGGGCATGCGCACAAGCTTGGCACATGCTCATTCCGGCCGCACGAGGGGCTCTGGGCATGTGCAGAAGCGAAATGGGTACATTCTGAAGCAGGGCAGTTTCAGCTATGACACCTGCAGCATGTGCCAGGAGCTGCAGCAGCAGCAGCAACAGCAGCAGCAGCAGCCTGTGCGCGGTGCATCTTTCTCTCTCCAGAGCGGTAAGCGGCAGCAGCAAGCAGTTCCGTCTCTGTGCGCCCCTCCTGCTTTGCACTGGGTTTCAGTGGGTGCATGGTGACCTTACAGAGTGTGCATTACCTCACAGGTAAATATCAGCTGATCCTCTGTGACAGCAGCAACAGCAAGAGCAGCAGGAGCAGGAGAAGCCAGCAACCCACAGAGCTTTTCTGGAGGTAGCAATTCATTCATTCCTTCACTCATCTGGTCCCTTATCTTATCCCTCCCCCTCGCCCCGCTTTTTATCCCTTTACTCCATTCACCAGTCAAAGGCTTTGCTAAGGATGCTGGAGTCTCCATTATGGATGGCTCTTTGCACCGCAAAGAGTGGGTAACTGGGGGAGGGGGGGAGAGATGAATATTTCTCATCAAAAATCAGCAGCAAGCTTGGCAATGCACTGCAGTGTCAGTTCAAAAGGCTTAGGAGGAATAACTTGGGGAGTGGGCAAGGGAGGGTGAGTCAGCCTGTTGCCAATTTGGAGATGCCGAGCTTTATCTCCTGGAGAGAGAGTGTGTGAGTGTGTGTGTGTGAGAGAGAGAGAGAGAGAGAGATAGATAGATAGAGAGAGAGAGAGAGAGAGAGAGAGGGATGGAGAGAAGCTGAGAACTAGCTGCATTAGATGCCTGGTTGTTGATTCCTCTTTCCTATGTTGTATGAGAGAGCTAAGCGAGAGTTTGTCCTCTGCCAGAGAATAATAGTGGGGTCAAACCCTTTAGGGGTAAATGAAAAAGGAGAGATTGGAGTGTTGATAACTTGGGATGAGAAGGTCAGGCTACGCTTTTTGACAACATCAGGGGACCTTGTTGGCATCATGCATTTCATTCCAAGGCTTGCCAAGATACGCGTTGGATGTGCAGAGAGGGGGGTCTGTGTGTGCGGTGAGGAACTCAGGCAGTTTATATGTACAGGCCTATGATGACATCATCTCTTTGACTTTTGCTACACTTCAGTCTTTTGGAGGCTGGCTCTTTTCTTATTATTTGCGAGCCTATAGGAACAGTTCAGATGGTATTCCCGACTAAGGTTTTATACCTACGGTGTGTTCCATTTTATGAGTTTGATACAATTATATTGCACTCCAGCTCAGACTTATATAAACCCAGTGTGTGCAGTCATGAGCCTGTGAATTGTAACATTGTGATTGTATTGTTTTTGGCTATCATACCTGTGGCAGTATTTACTAGCTCTGTGACCTGATTTTAACACAAATTATTCAATAGTGGTGATGCGGTGGGAAGTCCCAGCTTCCCTTATATAAAATAACCCGTGTAAAGAACGCTTTATCTTTGACAATGCCTTATTTCTATTTATATCTTTTGCTCACTTACCTGCGCATTCACAAACTTCAGCCTCTTGTAATGGATATTCTAGCTGCTGCATGGTGGGTTTCTTTCCCAGAAATAGTACACTTTCTCCCCCAGTACTAGTTTAATATGCTTCAAAAATATGGTTAAAGGCACTATGATCTGATGCACTTCATAAATATGTATTGGAACAGAACCAGTTAACTAGTGTTTATGGCATTTTATGCACTACTTAAAGAGCCTTGTGGGAATAAATGTCACCAGATAAATTCCAAACCCCTTCGGTGGCCAAGGAAGTTTTGCAAGATTTGTGAAAATAATACTGGAGGTTGATGTGATCTTGATCGGAAATTCAACTTCCTGGCTCAGAGCTTTAAAAAGCATTGGTCCTTCTTTATCATTGCATTTTTATTGTACTTGCGAGCCCTCAAAATAATTTTACAATCCACACACACACACACACACACACACACACACAACTCTAAAGGCATATGCAGTACAAGCCTATGTTTACTCAGGAGTAAGTCCCACAGTACTTAGTAAAGCTTGTTACCTAGTAAGTATGTTTAGAACTGCAGCCTGAGCTTTTAACCCTTTCCTTTTTCAGCAATCTAACATTAGGTATTGTAAATTTAAACCAAATTCTGGACATATCACATTATTTACAGTAATAGACAAACCCAGTAGAGATATCAATTGTACTTGTGAAACATAGCATGCTGCTTTTTAGTGTAACAGGGACAGAAATATGTGAATCATTTTGGAACAGTACATATTTTAGCTTGTTGCAGAAAAGAAAATAGAGTTTGAGGTGTTTCAGAGGCTCGCTGTGTAATCCTAAACATGTCCACTCAGATGTAAATTCCATTGAATCCCAGGCAAGTGTGTTTTGGATTGCAGTCTTAGCACATGTAACCCATGCACATGTAAACCCTGTTTAGCACATGTAAACCCCGTTAAACACAGTGGGACTTAATTATCATTTTACTTCTGAATAAACATGTATAGGAATGCACAGTAAGTTTATTTATTGTTTTAAGAGCTTTCAAAGAAAAGAACATACTTCATTATATGCCTACAAAAGTTTATGCTGCACAAATTAGTTATACTCAATTGTCAAAGGTGACTTCAACTAAAAATCACTGTTTTGCAAAGTTTTTGCTTCAGAAGTCTATTGATTGGTTCAAACTCTTTTTGCCACAGGTATTGATGACATTCCCACAACAAATTGTGCCATATTGACTTAAGTATACAGTATTCATATTAGAGCTCAGAAAGCCAACCTTTTGACTCAGCAACATAACATTGTTTGGCCTTTTTCAAATTTATTTGGTGTTTATGTACATTACAGTTTAACAATATGCACAATTATGTACAATCTAACAACAATTCCACCTATCAATATCTCTTCTGACCATGGAATCCCACTACAAATTTCCAACATGTAGTCAATATTCATAGTAAATGCTCTAAAAACCTCATGAATTCATTACATTTAAATACAGTTTCTTTATTCTGTTTTGTGGTTCATTTTTATTAATAAGTTGTAAATGAATCCATCGCTTTTTATGTATAGAAGAATGTAAGAAAAAAATGAACGGAAAATAGCAATTGTGTTACATCTCGTCAAACAAGTGTAATGTTGACTAAAGTGTTGTTTGTGAGTAGGATGACTAGGTGCAATTCAGGATAGTTTGTATTGAAGAAGTAACTGCAGCAAGAACAGTTTTACTTACTCCTATGTTAACATGGCATGGCAAGTTTTAATTCCTGAATCTCCAAGATTGTTTTACAGGTACAGGAACTATACATTTTATTACCTTTGTTGTTACCTTTGTTGTACTTGTGTACTATTTACCTTTTTAAAGTACCTATTTCTTGCAACTGTTTACAAATGAACACATGATATATAGGCACCTTGTTAAATCTGACTTATTTTGTAAACTGTGTCTGGTCTTAGAGTTGTGACTTACTGTCTAAAGATCCTTCCAAATGTTGGGTTTTTCACCAAGTATAGTAAAAGCCCAGGAACTTGAACAGGAAGTATCTCAAAGGATATATCTATACTCTAGTTTTAAAGGTCATTATTCATCCTTCTCCCTAAATCTTGAAAATCTATTGTTAGGACAAGATTTGGGCGGGGATTTGACAGAGATTTTTGGCACCTTCATTAAATTACAGTTCGCAGGATTTTTTTGAGGAAGTCTTTATAGTTAAATGGAAGTACTAGTGATATGTTAGAGATACAGAGAAGCTTGCAGAAGATTGTTATTTTAGCGTACAGATTTGGTACCATTACAGAAGCCAGTTTGTTTGGTTTTTTTGCCAACTTCTCAGTGTGCTGGCCAGATTCTCATAGCCAATTTGTGATCATAGCAGAGATCTGTAGGAGTGTCACCAGCATCCCTGTATGGCTTGTGGTTTATTAGGTCTGTTGATTTAAGGCACCTGTCTCAAAGTGCCCAGAGCTTGAGATGTCCAATGATGGGAGAAGCTGCACTTGTTGAGTTGTGTTGTGATAGGTAAAGAGACCCCTGACCATTAGGTCAAGTCGTGACCAACTCTGGGGTTGCGGCGCTCATCTCGCTTTATTGGCCAAGGGAGCCGGCATTTGTCCGCAGACAGCTTCCGGGTCATGTGGCCAGCATGACTAAGCCGCTTCTGGCGAACCAGAGCAGCACACAGAAACGCCGTTTACCTTCCCGCCAGAGCAGTACCTATTTATCTACTTGCACTTTGACGTGCTTTTGAACTGCTAGGTTGGCAGGAGCAGGGACCGAGCAACGGGAGCTCACCCCGTCGCAGGGGATTCGAACTGCTGACTTTCTGATCAGCAAGAGCTAGGCTCTGTGGTTTAACCCACAGCACCACCTGCGTCCCTGTGTTGTGATAGGCATCTATTAAAGGCAGAGAACCAAAACGGTGGCAACCTTATTTTGTCCTGTTTGTCCATCAGATGTTACTTTCGTGAGTAGGTATTTTGTAGATATGGGTGTGAAAACTACAAAATAAATCCATAATAAAACAGTTGAATAAATCAGTTAAAAGCAAAGCAACAGTCAAAGCACATTTCCAGTATTGTGGACATTTACAATTGTACTGAATTCTGTATTGAATCAGAGGCTTAATAGAGGACTTAAATAATTTATAAGAAATATGTTTTTCCCCCTACTTTAGTAATTAAAATTAGGATGATTTATTCATCACTTATGCTAGTGTACTTCAAGCACATTTAACAGGGCTTCAGCAAAGTATATAATCAACAGCATGATTCTAGGCATGTCTACTCAGAAGTAAGTTCCACAGAGCTCTATGCACCTTACTTCTAAGCAGTGTTATTTTTCTAGAAAAAGAGGTGCCGAAACTCACCATGAATGCCTCCCTTGTTCTCTTAAAATGGCAATGGTGCCCACTTGAGACGTGCCAGAACTGAGTTCTGGCGAGTTCCGTCTGGAAAAAGGCCTGCTTCTAGGTAAGTACAGTGGTACCTTGGGTTAAGAACTTAATTCATTCTGGAGGTCCATTCTTAACCTGAAACTGTTCTTAACCTGAGGTATCACTTTAGCTAATGGGGCCTCCCGCTGCCACTGTGCCACCACCACGCAACTTCTGTTCTCATCCTCAAGCAAAGTTCTTAACCCGAGGTACTATTTCTGGGTTAGTGGAGTCTGTAACCTGAAGTGTCTGTAACCTGAGGTACCACTGTATGTATAGGATTGTAGCCTTACTGACCTTCATAAGATGTCTGTTGTATAGTATTAATTTTTATCCTGGCTTTCTTCAGGTGTATTCATAATATTAAAATCAACAAAATCACATAACAACGACAGCCACAACCCAAAGTTAATAACACAAAAAGCAGACTGAAACG